GGAAACGTCAGGGCTGCCGGGCGGGGGCCGGTTCCGAGCCCGAGGCTGTGCGGTCCGCTCTGGGGGGAGCCCGGGCAAGCAGGACCCGTGCTGTGTCTAGGAGGGCGGCCCAGAAGTCGCAGACCGACGCTCAGATGGACGGACCGGCCTCCCACGCCCTCCGAGAGACTCCTCACCCCACCCGCGCGCGGCGCCAGGCCCGCTTTCCTTTGTTACCGGGTTTCCATAGCAACCGCGGAGCGCGAGCGCGGAGTCAGATTCCGGGCGGGAGCCGCCATCCCGCTCCTCCAGCGAGCTCGACGCGCCGGCCCCAACACTGTCTGTGGTGCTGAAGGCTCCGCGGCGCAGGGCCGCAGTCCAGGGGTGCGCCCCGCGTGAGCGTCCGCGCCCAGGGCGTCCGCCCCAAGCACTCCCATGGGGTGACAGGATCGGCGAGGGCGCTCCTGGGGGTCACGTCACTCCCCTGCTCCCCACTGCATGGGACTCCTGACCCCGCGCCCCTTGAGACCCAGGACTCGGGGTGGGGGCCTCCGACTTGCAGGTACCTGGCCCCAAAGCACCCCATAGGCAGGAGAGGGATCCTGGGATCAGACCAGGTCACCCACCCTGCCACTCAAAGGGGTCCCTAGGTCCAGCCCACCTCTTGGCAGGGGCCTGCCTGACCGCACTCACCTCTCCCTGCCCCAGGCATGGGACCTCAGGACCCACACAGGCCCCTCCCTGGGGCTCTGCCTCCTCTAGACCCCTCCTCTGAGCTCCCACCCAGGGGACCGACACATCCCAAACCCCAGTGACCAGGCCCAGGCCAGTGTGGACAGCTGACTCCAGAGGCTTCCCACCTGGTCTTTAAGGCCGTGGGCCCAGCTTGTCTGCCTGGGGCAGCCGCCCAGGAGCCTCTGCCACCTCTCCCAGCCCCTGGTGCCAGGCGAATGAGCAGGCTCTGTCCCAGCCTTCGGCCATGTGTCCACTGTGGCCGTTCCCTGGACTGGCTCCCTGGCACCCCTCCTTGTACACACACCCTGCAGGCACTGCTGTTTCCATGGCAACGACAGCCTAGGAACATGTACCCCCTCTGAGCTGACTGACCAGCCTGACCAGCTCCCGGCTACACCTCTGGACCCCTTCCAGCCAGGCCTCCGCCTGTCTCCTCCTGGGCAGGGTGGCCAGTGCTGGGCCCCTGCAGCCGCTCACAGCTGTCCTCAGGGCCCACTGCCCCTCGGGCCGAGGGCCCGCCCCTCCAGCTCTGCTGAGAGCCCCTGATGCTTGCAGGGGCTGGAGGCCAGGCCGGTGGGTGGGGTCTCCTGAGGGACCTGACCCAGGAGGCCCCGGTCTTGCCTGAAGAAAGAGTGGTGGGGGGCCCTAAAGGGCACACAGCAGTGGCCAGATGCCTGGGGCAGGAGTGTGCCCCACACAGTCACACCCCTGAGCAGAGGCTCCCGGTGCCGCAGGGCTGTTCTGGCCCAGATCGGTGGGTGCTGAGCAGCCCGGAAAGTGCTGGGTGTGGGGCACGGGCGTGGTGGGGCGGATGAAGCTGGTGCCAGGGCCCCCACTCCCCGCAGCCTGTACCCACACCCTTTTGCCTTGTTTGTTTAGCTATGGGGCATGTGTGCTCCCTGGAGACAGAGACAGAGGGAGAGGGAGAAAGCCCCCAGGGGGACGGCCGTGCCTCAATCCATCTGCCTCAGGATGTTGGGCACGCATGCGCACACGCCCAATGTTTGTCCAGCCGCTGGGTCCGGGATTTGAACCATGCACTTGGCCATGTGGGATCCAACCACCTTCACCACAACACTGTCTGGTCCTACTTTCTTGAGTTTATTTATTACTGCCCTGAGCAACAGACAGAAGCATCCCCACCAGGGTGCTGACGCTGCCCTCCACCAGCTCCACAGCCCCGGCCCAGGGCACACCCGCGCCTTGTGAAGGGTCTCTGGATGCAAATCCGGAAACTTCAGCACGGTCTGTCCAAGTGCCCTCTCACCCGTTGTTTGTAGGCACTGGCCCAGACTCCCGAGCAGCTTGGGGTGGTAGCCACACAGCCTAGGTCCCACCCCAGAGGGCTTTCTGCAGGAGGGGCCAGGGGTGACAGGCAGCTGACTGGTCAGCACCTGGCCTATAGTAGACATAGCTGCAGGGACGTCTGGTGGGGAGAGAGCCCTGGGGTGGGCACAGGGGACCCTGATTTCTCAGGGCCTTCCTGCCCTTGAGGACACCCCCCAGCCCACATGGAGCATCCCCAGGAAAGGACTGGACTTGGGAGGGGCTGCAGAAGGGCTGAGGCCAATATCTCCGGGCCAGGTCAGGGAGGAGAGGGGCACTGAGTGGGCCGGGCGAGCCGGGCCCAGCCCACCCAGCAGGGGCTCCTGTCTTTCTCCAGGTCAGGGTTCAGCCTGCAGAAGAGTGCTCCAGATGGATACCCGGGGCAGGGCCGCAGGCAAGGCCTGGCTGGGGCGGCAGGGTGGGAGAGGCGGTGACACTGGGAGGGTGGGAGCTGCAGCCCTTTCCAGCACTCAGGCCCGCTACCCCACATGGCCCGGCCACGGGGCAGCCGAGACACCCTCATGCCCTTATCTCTACCCACAGTCGGGAGTTTCTATTTTAATTCCTGGGCCGAGATGTCAACACCTCACGGGGCGCCTGGGTGGAGTGGGGGGCAGGAGGCAGAACGCAGGGAGGGGCAGAGGAGTGCACCCTGGCCCAGCCAGGGGCCTTGGCTGCGAGGCCGTCCCTCGAGCCGCCCTCTGGGCCACCAGGCCTGCACTGGTCTCAAGGCCTGCCTGCAGGGGTGCAGGGAAGCAGACAGAGGCAGGGTTTCTGAGACCAGCCTTGCCGAAATCTGAGTAAATTCTTGCTATGGGAAGGGTACGTCCTGAAGCTTGCACAGACTGACCGCTGTGCCACACCCTGCCAGGCGCAGGGCCGTCTCTGTCCAGCATGGGAGCAACCTAAGGCTGGCCCCGCCAAGGACCCGGATGCAGCCTCGGGCAGCTCCGGGGTGGCTGGGGAGTCCCAGGGCCCTGCGGGCAGCAGGCCTGTGGGATGGTAAGGGAGCCCAGCCCGAGCCTGGTGGCCGTGGGGTCCACGCAGTGCTCGCCAGACTGGGCAGTGGCCATCCCATTCGAGGGCAGGCCTGCCCAGCGCGGGCACCAGACACCAGTCTCCAGTCTCAACTGCCAGGGGGCCAAGGACCTACGATGGGAAATGCAAGACGGCACCAGCTGGGGTTTTCTTTTTATGAGTTTTTTTTGGTTTGTTTTTGTTTAATATGAAAATTACTTGAAAAGACAAGGGGCCAACCCCGCCAGGCAGCTCGGCCACACCGATCCTAACATTCCAGGTGTAAGTTACAGAGCAAGTTCATCTACAAAAAAAAGTAATAAAAATAAAATTTAAAATGGCACCTTCAACAGAACACAACGAAACCTCAGGGCCCGGCCTCCGGGAGAGGCCCCGGCTCTCTGCTCCAGCCAAAAAGTAAACACAAAGCTGAAAACGAC